CAGAAAAAAGCCACGACTAGACATAGTACAGAAGAGGGATGCAGGAACACTTGCTTAGATATACAAAAAAAATCACAGAAAGGTGTGTGCTACAAAAGAACATGCGAACATGAAAAAGATCTGGCAGAGAGTGAAGAATCAGAAAATTAGCACGCATAAATAACAGCAATTCTGTCAGTGAGCCTTATATGAATTAATAGCAAACATGGTTTCACGGAGGGCGTCTCAGATAGTTGGGCATTCAGGAAGATTGCCAGGCGAAAGGATTTGTAAATATATTTTGTTAAAGCAAGTCAGTTTTTTGCAACACATAACATACATTTTTTTAAGAAAGTTTAGCCTTTGTCACTAATGAAACCACTAAATAAAGGCAGAAATATAGAAATCTAAAGATTTTTTTATTCAATGTTGATAGCAGGATGAACTGTCAAGTTGAGCTAAGTGTATATTTTGTTGCAGAGTTGCTGCAAGATGTTAACCATGAAAACAGGTATTTAGAAATGACTCATTTCAAGAAGAAGATTTTCAGAATAATTATAAATCTAGCAGGATAGAGAAAATACAGAAAACAGGCAGTTAGATTGATCAGATTAGTATGCAAAGCCATTTAGCAAAGAGAGTGTGAAAAGAGTGACAAACTAGTATACTTTAGATCTTTTTTTCTGAACCAGGGAAAATCTGATCATGTTTCTCTATAACACCCACAGAATGTAGATGTAGAGGACAGCTAGAAGACCAGAGTCAGATGGACAAAGGTTGCAAGGTGTTGTTGACTCAAAACCTGATAGGAAGTCAGTGCAAGGACTTGAAGACGGGTGTAATGCATCCCGATCAGGATTCTGGCTGTCAAATTCTGAACATATTGGAGATTGCTCAGTGGGGATTTAATTACCCCAGTGAACAGGATGTGCATTTATTAATTCTAGAAAAAAAAGCCCTTCTTGATTTCTCTAGTCCCTAGTTTCTCTAGTTCCCTTTAAAAGAAACTATTATTCCACAATGCAGAGTACTACATGGCCGGTATTTACACATTATATTTTGTGATTTAACAAATTAACACAAGCAGTTTTTGAAGATTTAAGTGTTGGCTGAGTTATTGCAGGATATAAAACTAGAGATGTAGGTAGGAAAAAGATAATTTAATTTTAAATTTTAATTTTCCTAATAGGGTTAGGCATACTTTTGTCAAAATGACAGGAGATGTTATAAACTGCAGAGGAAGATAATTAACAGACTGTATGCTTACATAGATACTGAAATGAGAATTATAATTTAGATTTTGTGTAGTTGCTAGCATTGAACTGTGTGTTCAAGCCAGCACTATAAAATAATTTATCCTCAGTGAGATGCTGCCATCTCATAGCGGGTTTCTAACACTGTGTATAGTTCCATCCACACGGTACCTTTACTCCCATCCATTTTCTAATCTCTTTATTCAGTACAGAGGATTTGGAGCCTATCCCAGCAAGCAACTGATGCAAGGCAGAATACACCCTGGACATTCTGCCAGTCCATCACATGACAGAAAAACTGACACACACACACACACACACACCAGGATCAGTTTTCCCGTAAGCCAATTAACCTACCAGTATGTTTTGGAGTGCGAGAGGGTCATATCACACATATGGAGAAAAACCATGGAACCTAGAGAGAACATGCAAACTCCACACACACACAGGATGGCAGGAATTGAACCTAGGGCCCCAGTGCTGCAAGATAGCAATGCTAACCACTTCGCCACAATTAGAAATGGATGGATATTTTAGTTATCTTTCTTGTTTTCTATCAGAGGTTTGCATGCATAATTTAATTTTGAAAGCCACTGAGACATCTGGTACTATGAAAAAAACATACAAAAAGCATACTAACAACTGTGCCACCCTATTCCTTAGTTAATACAATGAGCTAAGTGTGACATAACATTCAGAAATACAATCGAGAATATTTTTGTGGTATTTGTATAGATGAAACTTTTCTAAAATGTAAAACAAAATTAAAGACAATTAAAATCTGTAATCTTTCCACCTGTAATGTCATTAGAAAGTATAATAAGTTCCTGCTTTGTCTGGCAATGGTATCAAAAAATAATCTAACTGGTGAGAAACCTGTGCTTAATTATAATTAAGGGACTTAGAAGTCAAAGAAAATGATTTACGTTGTTTAATTTTAAACACTAAGTTATGAATGCAGACGCAATTGGTGCCATTCGCACCCCGCTCTGTAGAACGGCCATTGTGCAAGACTGAGCTCCCTCCCTCTCTTGGTGCCGCCTCCCCCTCTGACGGAGTGCAGTGGGTGGTACGCTATTTTCAGATCCTCTTATTGGGGAAAAAAAGACCTGCTGATCTGTCTTGCATAACAGGAAGAAAACAGACAGATTTTTTTCTGTTTGAAACAGATTTTGTCTTTATGAAATTCATGTATTTTAAACATTTAATTAAGAAGTAAACATACAGCCTAAACAAAGATTCTAAGCTGATCACGAGGTATAAAAATCACCCGTTTTTCACGCATAAAAAGTGGTTATTAACTATTGAAACCTGTTTTTATAGCTTTTAGAGTCATGTAATGTCTAAGATAAGCGGGAACACATCATTGTATCTTATTTTTTATTTCATTTTTAAAAATAAAAAAAATCATTTGCCCATCGTGTTGATAAACTGTTTGTTCTCCAATTGCTGGCTATTTTTAAAAATAATCCTTCCCCCCCTCCCTCATTTAATTTAAAGATTTCCATGAAGAAATCCTTAAACACAAAACCAACGTATAATAATTCATCCAGATGGTTCCCTGTTGAATGACGCTGCCGGACCAGGTTCAATTCCAAGCAGTGTACTATATAGTACAGATTATTATTATTTTTTTAATTCCAAGTTAAATTGTTGGCTGGTTACTGGCTGCTGGATTTGGATTTTCTCAATTCAGATGTAAACCTGAAAGAGACACATCATGTTCACAATAAGCTCTAACAGTGGACTATTTTTATGCATCTGGCTCTATGAGAAACAAACCAAGGTAATGCTCTGATCGCACTTTGAACCGCCTGGGTGCAGCTCAGTACATTACAGTGCTCATTACCACTACAGGGACAATAGAAGTTTTTTTAAAAAAAAGAATGTCAAAATGTTTCCAAAACGTCCACTTGTGATACTTTAGCTGCTTAGTTATATGATTCCATATTAATATAACTATCAAGTGATGTAAAATCACTACAACATTTATTTTATTACAATAACAGCAAGTGGTGTTCTTACTGCGTATTCTTAGAAAAGGATAAAACATTATAACTTTTTATGAAGTACAGAATATAAGCTTAATAATGTTAGAACAAGCACGTTAAAACCAGAACCAGTAACAAGTTACCAAGTTAAAGACTTTGATGCATAAACTATTTATGCATAATTAAATTATTTATGATGAAGGTGGAAGGTTGTGTACTTTTGTCCAACTCAGCAATCTTGTTTTAATAAAATGTACCAACTTTTTAATGTTTAATGATTAACATGCTGCAGTACACAGTTCATAATTATTAAAAGTCTAAAGAGTATACAACTTAAATTCCTAATTAGAATAAGACTGTCCCTCAGCAGTGACCTGGATTAGAAACTGGGCATTTTCTGGCAACAGCTCAAATGCTGTATGTGAGGGGTTAAGCTTTATTAGCTCCACCTGGCAGTTTTACAAGGTGCTTCCAGATAATATTATCATAATCTAATTTGCATGTAGTATAATGGGGTATGATGCGCCATGCCTACCGCATATGATGATGCGGTATATTGCACCATGTCCACCCTGTTTTAACGCAGCGTACCTTTGAATGGCTGGATGTGTATGTATTCTTTACAGTGCAGCTTTCCTACTGTTAATGTCAAACACATATGCATTGAAGTACTGTACTGTTTCACTGGACTGTTCCCAGCATTTTGTGTAAATAAACTGATAGGCAGTTCTACTTCCGCTGTTTGTCTGCTTACTGATAAGAAACAAATTCAAGAGGGTATGCACCTGACTGCTCAGCTTGTTTGCAACTGGTGGAAGTAATGATAGACCTCTTCAGACTTTTGCTGTCACCAAATCAGATATCAAACTTTCCCCATGTCTGTACACCTGGTTTGGTGAAAATAATAAAATCTGATGCCAATGATGGCAGAAGTTTGAAAAGGAAGACATGGGTATTGGAAAAGAAGAAGCAAAGAGTACTTCGATCCAGTGTATCATGTCAGCTTTAGGTAGCATAGAAAATGAAGGTCTGATGAAGAGCTTAGAAACACAGAAACATGGTTAACGCAGTTAGAAGAGGAATGAGGAAGCAGAAGACAAAGGGGTTTTGTTAGATCCACCTACAGGCAAGGCAAAAGCACTGTCAGCTCTTAATTTATGTTTCCAATCTCACTGTGCAATATCAATACCCAAAGAAGGCTCCACAGCTGAAACGCTGTGTTTCCTTTCTTTTCGTTTCAGCATAAAATAAACCTTTAACTTTGCAGCCTACGCATGGTGGCACAGCTACCTACTTGAACAATTTCAATAATATTTCTACTTTATAAACATTCTAAAGTGAGTAAAAGAAATATTAAGTTGTCCTACAAATCACAATGCCTTGTTGCAAAATTTGCATAATACACCTTTTGTAAACAAAACTTTAGAAAAATTCACCACACTGTATGCAAGACTCATTTTTGATTGGAATGTTAAGTTGAAGAAAACGTGCAAAAAAAAGTTTGTGGGGAAAGCCAAATTTCACATTTGTGCAGATTTTTCAAATTTTGTATAGTATTAGAATCTAAATTTCAAAGGAAATGACCTAACTGTACAGAAAAGCGTGTTCTTCCATTTCATTTTTGAGACTGTACATTTTTATATAAAATCCTAAATAACACACATAGAAATATTTTATGTGATTTTTTCGAAACACTGATTGCCTTGCCTAAATAACACAACAATTATTATTGAAGGCCATTATGGAGTTTTACAGATTTATACAGTGAAAGACCTACCTTAGGCTCACTGGTCAGCATGTTGTACCACAGAATAGAAGCCCAACCACTGGGGAGCTGGCTCACATTGGAGATTACCACCAAGGGAAGGGAGGTAGTCTGGGAATACAGGTGTAAATCTACATAATTTATTTCACTTTGGGGAACTTTTGTTTTTACCACCATTTGAGAACAGGTAACAATATCTCCATTTGAAACAGTTAACAATTATACTTATTATAAAAGCATATTATCAAATGAAGACTAAACAAATATGACTTTAGATAAAGGTAAGGTGAGGTAATCTTTAATCTTTTTAACTGAATTAGAGTAAAGGCTGTAAATTATTCATCAGAGTTGTACTACTAGAACCAGAATTTTCCGATTTCAAAATATCTTGTAAAATTATTCTTGGTTCAAGTGGTTTTTACAGGGGTTTTGTAATAGATGATCTTTTATTGTCTTCTTTCTTGCAGTGTATATAATTCACCTTGATCTTTACTAATCTAAACCAATCCCAATGTTCTGATTAACAGAATTATCATAAAAACTAAGGTTAGGCACTGTTAGATCCCCCTAAACCAGTAGTCTGACACTGGAGGACCTACACACAAACCATCATATTTGTTGTAATTTGTCACTATGAACAGTGGAGAACTGCAAAACCAGGGCTAAAGCTTGATCAAACCTGGTGTGAAAACCTTCCCACACAGGGGCTTTCACAAAACAGGTTTCACTGATTCAGGATTTTCTCATGTTATCTCGTTTGAATTAATTTGATAACTGTCCTCAGGATTACTCCAGTTTCACAAAGGCAAACTCTCATTTAAATTATCTGGTTAAAGCGATTCAGGCTTCAACAATAAACTGCGTACTTCAGTAGTCAAAGAGAGTCAAGGTCATAGAATTCTTCATCCATACCAGCAAACCTTGTGACTTAGTGAATGCTCAGTGACCACTTTCTTGTGGTGTAAATCAAGTAGAATAGAATAGACTTCCCCTCCGTTAAGGAGCAGAAAAAATGTAACCATGTAAAACTGTGACCTAATTATAATTGGAAAAAATTAACACAAATTAAGTTTGGAAAAACATATCTTAAATAATTGGACACTGTTTCATTAGAATAATGTTCAGTTATGATGCCTCTTTCACATCTGCCACCCAGCTGATTCAGATGAAAGGGAGGAAGCTCATCACAATGTACAGGTGAAGAGGAGGAACTGCAATGTTATGCAGCACATCAAATGCAACAATGATGTCATTGTTGATACCCTCAGACAGAGTAAGGTACATGTTGCTGATGCAACACCAAGCATGAGAGAGAATTTGCTAATATTAAAAACAACGTGATGATGGAATTTGTATATTATCAACACCTATATCTAGGTCTACAATGTCTACAATATTACCATTGTAGACATGTATGTTTTAAAACTTCTTTTGATGGAAATGATTGAAAGTTTGTCTTTTGTGTAATCAATCTGAATGTTCATATTTTTAGGCTAGATTTTTTTCACTGTACACTGATGCTGTTAATTGATTTTCTTTTAAGAAAATTAGCCTCATTTGCCCTGTTTGAGCTTTAATGAGGATGTTTTGCAGGCCAGAGCACTTATTCTGTATGTATAATATAAATCATAATGTTTCTTAACATAATTTTTCCAGCTATTTCACAAAACTGCTGTTTGATGGTATTGACCAAAATATGTCTGGAAAACATTTTAGTGCAAACATCACTTTCCTTATTGCACGACATTGTTGCTTTACTGAAGTTCTGAGTCACCAACACAATAAAAAACGACACCAGTCACAAGAAATCTCAGCCCTATGAACAAAGTTTCTTTTTTTTTTAAATGACCTATGATGAGCAGTATTAAAAATGTATGGTCTTAAGAGATTGTGAATGTAAAGTATACTCTGTATGCTGAAATTGCATTTTTTCAATAAAAATGATCAGTGAACTCTAAAGGGTTTTGGTAATCTCTGAAATGTTATTCTTTCCATGAAGCGCCAATGGCAACTCGATTACTGAAGAAAGACAACAGTGATTTTTCAGGGGATTGATTTGTCAGTGGCTCAAGCTCTTAACCACAAAGTCAGGCTAAGTTTCACTTAATAATAGAGACTTAACCAGATACAATTCAATCTTGCTTTGTGAAACTGAAAATCCAGACTTTTGTCAACATGATTTCTAAAGTTATCCTGTTAACAGAGTGAACTCATGTGAAACAGCCCCCCTGACTTAGTCTATAACTTTTTGTTTTGCCTCACCAGATTCCAATGTAAACCTAATTTTTACGGTATGGGAGAACTGTGATATGCTTCTCTCTTCTAACTTTAGCCATATGGAAAAACAAAACATTATTTTTCCTTGTTAACCTATGTGAGAGAAAACCTACTGTACTTCTCCCTTTAACTCTAACCAAAACTATACAAACTTCAAAACAAACTGAACTGATAACTTTTCCTATGTTTTGAACATTTTTATAGATAAACAAAGTCACAGCAGATTTTATTCTTCCTTATCTTGTATGAATGTCTGAAACTATTTTCTCTGTGAAAAGTCTCCTAGCTGCATTCGCAAAGAACAAACCAACACAGATAGCTCAGAGAAACAGCTGCTCCGTCACAGGCAAATAGCTGATAAAAAGTTAGTTAAGCACTTACATTACTGTGAGCAAATCTATCCACAGCTCTGTCATTCAATAGCATCTCCAACATGTGACTCTCACCTCTAAATCTATAACCAGTCCCGGCTGGCATAACTGAGTTTCAAAACTTATGGAGTGGAGTTCCTCAGTAACGATGAGAGGACCCTGAAAAGACAAACACCCTATATTACTGAAATGTCACAAAAAATGTTTTTTTTTATTTTTTTTTCCCATAACTGTACCTCATTAGTTCTGTTTCCAGCTGTTTTCTGTTCTTTTAGTTGCTGAAATACAAAAAAAAAAGATATGTAACAAAGAAAAATCTATTTGACTCCAAAACACAAAAAAGACATACACAGCATGCTTCGATTATCACAATCAGGAACTGGTTCCATCTGTGGCATATAACTTCTATTCTCAATGCTAAGGGCTTACACGATTATTGCAACAAAAAGACCAAAAGAAGATAATATCTTGTCTAGACTAATCAGGAACCAAAATATTATGCTTAAGAAAACATCTGTGCCATGAGTTTGTTAGACAAACAACTCAGATGGAAATGACAACAACCACTCATCACTATTTTTTAGCCACATTATCCAGTACCTGCACACAAGGGAGAGCAAGAGCCTATCCCGGCAAGCAACAAACTACACCCTAGATGTGATGCCATTACCATCACATGGCAGACACTCAGACACACAGACCAGGCCCAGTTTTCCCAGAAACCAATTAACCTTCTAGTACAGATGCAGCCATTCAAAACAAGCAGGGTATGCTGCGGCATAATGCGGTGGGCGTGTCGCAGTATACCACATTATACCGTATGCAAATTAGATTATGTTAATAGTATCCAGAATCACCTTGTAAAACTGGCAGGTGGAGCTAATAAAGCTTAACCTCTCGTATACAGCATTTGAGCTGTCACCAGAAAACATCCGGTTTCGTTTCCCAATCACTGCTGAGGGACAATCTTTATTCAATTAAGAATTTAAGTTGTATACTCTTTAGACTTTTAAATTTAAACTGTGTATTACAGCATGTTAATCATTATACATTAAGACATTGGTATATATTATGAAAGCAAGATTGCTCAGTTGGACAAAAGGACACAACCTACCACCTTTATCATTAATATTTTAATTATGCAGAAATATTGTTTAATAAATAAAAGTCTTTACTGAAGATATTACTAATAGTATTAATAATGAATGACCTTGGACAAGCTGTAAACTCAAAGTATTACCCTGGTCCACATTCTTTGTAACCATCTTTGTAAACGAAAAGACTATTTTTATTGACAAAAAGTAACACCACAGCATTTTGTTGATCCGATCACGCATTTGTTTCCAATCATACAAAGTAAGTCTTGAGAATCTCCGAATCACCATGCCTTTCACATGCTCATAAAAGATATTAATTTAGCAACATAAACATTTTACTGTATGTAAACTGTACTGTATATGGCTGGTCTTGGTAGTTTAAAGAAAAAATACACACCAGTATTCCATTTCTCCCTAAACATTTTAAGCATCAAAGTCTAATGTGGTTATTTCGGAAACATTTTTATGTGCTCCTTCTGACCATATTACTGTACGTTTATATACTTTGTGAAAATTGATCGTTTTAACCTTTTCTGTGAATACGCAGTTTTAAACATTTCTTTGAAAAAATAAAATAGCAAATATTATGGACACTACTGTAAATTGACATTTGTTATATTTCTAAATATCACAACATGTTCGAAGCCAAGTAATTTATGAATAACAACAACTAATTCCAAACTGCTACTGATATTATTACTGACTAAATATTACTCGCGCTCGTTATCGCAGTAAAGGAAACTCATACTTTTCAGAATCTAATTATTTAAGCAATAAGGCACGAGGGGCCGTGCTACTGTATATCATGGATATAATCACAGTTAAAAGGTGTTGTTAGGCCCAACGCGATGCAGAAGGCCAGCAACCCTTTTAACTGTGACTATCTCCATGATATAGCATAGTCCTCGAGTGCCTTATTGCTTTTATGAAACAGTCCCCAAATATGCGATTGCTGTTCAGAATGAATTTTAATTAAAAAAAAATTATTTAACAGGAAAATTAAGCTGTTTACGTTCCTCTGCCTGAGAATATAGTCCCTCGTTGCTAAGCAACGCAGAAACACAGCCACAACTAACTAACAAGGACAGGACATTAGCTATCCAATATGATAAAGAAATAAATTACTTGTTTTTTTGTTTATTTCTTTAGCACATTTATTTGAACATTTCCATCGAAAAATTAACATTTCATTTCCACTGAAAAACTGTCCAATCCGTAGTTCATGAGGCATTTTCTTTTTCGCTGCGGGAGCGCTCCTACTGGTCCTGTTCTCAGTGCCTTCTATATATGGCTGATATAAAGTCAACGATTTGTTGTTAAAATTGGGTTTCCTATAACGCCGCAGCGAACTCTCGTTTATAACTATAAACTTAACCGAGCGTTTCATAATTTCTAAGAATGAAAGTGATTTAAACTATGCAACACTTTTCATTCAACGAGAGCTCAAAATATCACATGAATCCTCAATTTCTAAAGAAATTAATAATTATATTAATTTAATTCATTCCACTTTCTTTGTAAACACAGAAAAACAGATTTACAACATGAAGCTGCGTCACTCTCCTGTGTAAAACGGTTTGAACACTGTTTTTAATAAGCTGCTGAGTAAAGAATAGGAATGTTAATTGAACAGTTAATTGTTGGCACTCTATTTACCACACATCAGTCCACTAAACATTTGTGGAATAAGCTATGACAACGAGCAGCATTAGGGACTCAAGAGACCAGAGAACAATCACATCCAGATGACTGTATCTGCAACCTGGTACAAACCATGTGTCATAGAAATAGCTCAAATTATGGCGCAAACGCACTACTAGCACAATCTTTCACAGTAGACCACATGTTGATCAAACCTGTTGATGAAAAATGCTAAATTGCAGTTAATTAAGATATACTATATCTTTTCAGTGCATGTTTAATAAACACAACATTTATTAAACAATTTATAAAACATTCCATGTTTTAACCTTTTCTATGAATACTTGCACTTGTTATTGCAGTAAAAAACCTCATACTTTTTAGAATCCACTAAATAGGGAGTATAATATGGATATAATATAATAACGATATTAATTTAAGGATCTAAATGTGTATTTACAGATGCAGCCATTCAAAATGGGTGGGGTATTTCGCGGCATACCCCGGTGGGCGTGTCGCGGCATCACGCGT